TGAGGGTGTCAGTGATGGCCTTCTGGACAGCAGTCAGGTCTGCAGTCTGACCCATGGTTGTGGTTTTGAGTAATGAACCAGGTTGGGAGCGTTTAAAAGCCTCAGGAATCTTTTGCAGGTGTTTAGAGTTAATTTGTTGATTCAGATGATTAGGTTAATAAGTCGTTTACAGAACCTTTTCATGATATGCTAATTTTTTGAGATAGGGATTTTTGATTTTTCTTTACTTTTTTGCCAAAATCATCAATATTAAAACAAGAAAAGGCTTAAACTACTTCAGTTGGTGTGCAATGAATCTAAAATATAAGAAAGTTTAATGTTTATCAGTACATTACAGAAAATAATGAACTTTAATCACAATATGCTAATTTTTTTAGAAGGACCTGTACTTTTTAGGAATGCCCAAATGAGAAAATCCAAAACAAATCTTAGATTTAAATGGATCACCTCCTGAAAAGCTGATGTTACAGGATTTTCAAAATGAAGGGTATATTAATAGTGTGATGTTACTAGATCACAAAATAACAAACTGACTCAAGTCTCATCCTCAATCTGTTAAACAGATTAAGACTTAAAACATGTAAATGATAAGTTATTACAAGAGATAAGCTCCTGTAATGCTGGATTTTATAAAGTAAAATAATTACCATTTTATGTATTTTAGAATTTGTGCAATAGGTTTATGACAAGATGTGACCAAAATGTTAACATGATTGTGAAACCTTGTTGTGTACAATGGACTATAGGCCTATTGGAAACACTTCACGTTTTCTGAATTTGCCAAGACCTTGAATAAACTGATTGTATCTCTGTAAATAAGGGAATATTTCATATAGAACATCACTGATTTCATTGCTGATGTGATTTGAATGTTATGGGACAGTGTCAGAGCTACGTAAATCTTTTGAGTCTGGAAATAAGTTTTACTTTTTTTTTGTACCAACCTTATCAGCAGCAGCTTTCAGCAACACAAGGACTATTAATATTTTCCAGCTATGACATTTAAGCTTTTTTCTTCACAGTGAAAAAAAAAAAGCATCAAACATCTGGAACACTCTTTTTCTATGTGCACATAAACTAAAGCAACTTAAAAAATGTTTTAGTACCTATAGTTTTTAGTTTTGTCACACCTGGCTAAAAAAAGTATGCCGTGCTTTACTGAACTTGTGTATACCTCTCTGATTTGAAGCAGGGTTCCCACACCTTGGTCAACATCAAATTCAAGGGCCTTTCAAGGACTTTCCAGTTCCAATTTCCTCAAATTAAAGAACCATGTGCAACAGCAATTACCTAATGCTACCGCAGAATGTTACCAATAAACAGGTTTAAAAACTGAACAACATAGAAGTTGTTGAGTCAAAAACAATGTCAGTTTACCGTAATCCTGTTATCCACTGCAACAAATGTATGTTTTTTTTATTTAATTTGATATTTTTTTAAAGATGATGAAAATCAGTTTTGTGAATAGAAAATTTCAATCCCCCAAAAACATTCAAGGACTTTCAAGGAAAAGTGTAATTTTTTGGYTGTTTTACAAACTTTCCAGGGCCTTGAAATATATATTTTTTCAAATTCACAAACTTAAGGATTTCAAGGACCCGTGGGAACTGAATTAGCTTCTTTCCTCTTTTTTTTTAACCACAATTAATTTAGCTTTAATACATGGTCTATAATAGATTTATGTATAAGTACACAGTAACATATGAGGCAAAGATGTTTTCATCCTTTTTTTAAATACAACAAATCAGTTTGTTTTGTGCTAAATTTATTCAAACGAGAGATCATAAATTAGATACTAGTTACATAACTCCAATTTCAGCTTCAAGACYGAGGCCTTGTTGGTCATTTTAACCTAAAGACAGCAGGAGGGTTAATGCTAGAAGAGCACTTGGTATGCCAGTCAGAAAAGGATGTATGGACCAGTTACATCTACTTTTGTTACTCAAGCATCTCTTTTAAGCTAAAATTTTAAAAAAAATCACCTGATTTAAATCGACTGTTTTGTAAAGTAGTCTGCACTAGGTCTGCACGTTATTAGTGAAACCTGCAGTGTTCAATAACAAAGGTTACTATTGCAATATGACTTGCCATAAATGAATAAGTATGTAGAGTTGATGTCTTTCTGTTCTGGTTCAGAGGGAAAAAAAAAAACCCTAATCATTTCCATTCCAGCATGAATTTAAAAATAGAAGAGATCTATCCAATTGGACAAATAMATGAAGGGCTCCATTTGATTAGTGAAATACTTCAAGCTTCCATCTGAGTAATAAAACTCAATCATTTATTGCAGTTTTTTGCAATATGCCGATTGCACATGGTGTTTTCATGAWGATGATAAATTTTGGATATATTGTGCAGCCCTAGTCCGCACAAACATATAGAACTTGTAAAATCAGGACATTTGTGTCTAGCGTTTTTTTTTTTGTTTTTTTTGTCACCCATCTGTGTAGTGTTACATTCAGAAAAACAGACTGATGGCTGAATAAACTGGTGGGTTACAGTAACCTTTGTGCTTAAGATTGCATAAAAAGCAGTAAATTGTCAAATTAATGGTTGATCTCTAGTTTCAACAATTCCTTGACTTACCTGCAGAGTGAAAAGGTCTTCAGCCTTCGACGTCACTCCTACCCAAATATAAAAGATTTCGTTATGAAATCTACGACTGCTGAAGACAGCTGGAGTGTGATGCATTTTCTCTTTTTCTCCTCCGATGTGCATTACTTCCCAAATTTGGCACGGACAAAGGTGCTCACTTTTGAGTGATAAAAGCTTGTGGGAAATCAGCATGACGATTTTGGGAAGCCTGCCATTTATTTTATCAAGAAAAAGGAAATCCTAAAACTGTATTTGATGCATTTCAAATGATAACAGTAACAGAGGACTTAAGAGCTGAGCATCTTTGACTACATTTGGAAACTACACAAACGCGTTTTGGTTTTGTTTTAACAATACACATTGTTGACGCAACGTGTACAGTATCCAATTAACACTTACATTTACTTTTCTAACTTCTACATCTTACATTTCCACAGCAACGCCACAGAGGTTTAGAATTTTTAAGGAAAACTTACATGATGGAACCAACGTGCATGTTAGGTCGTGTACAAAAATCAAGTTCCGTCTTTAAATTGGTGCTAATATCTACACACAACACTAGTGTTAAGCAAGCGAAATAACTGAAATAGGTTCTGCCCGATCGAGACGTCAACCAATAAAAATACAGTAAAAATACAACAGTAATTACACACAAAAACAATGAGTGGGTGGGAGTAAAACGACTCCTACATAAAAACAAATTAACCGACAGGGACGTCGAGAAATCAGTTCTTCTTGTGAGCGTCGCAGAGAAACGTAACGCGCTCAGTCACAAACAGGAAGTAGAGTCACGTGCATCCGAAGGCGGCAGGCGACGACGCATCAGACAACGTTCCTGGAAAAAGAGCAAATAACACACATAAACTACTTGTATCTGGGAATAAACAGCACGTTGTTCCATCGTTTGTTTTACCCATGTTTCTGACAGAGGCCCATCTTTCACAGATTTAATCGCTAACGAACTTAATAACTTCATTGTTAGAAAATACGAGGATACAGCTTAAAAAACGCACTTTTTTTTCAAACCCTATTATGCTCAAACGCTAAAGCGTGTGCGACAGTTCACCAGCTGCCTCTGCCTTTGGAGGAACGAAGTGCAGTTTGACCAAAGGGTATTAAAATAATTTGACCTCAAATCTATTCTCACCTTTAAAAGTCGACGTTTCACTTTAATAAGCGTAGCGTGGAGGTGGTGGCGGAGGCGGAGGCAGCCTGTCTGCGTAGGGGTCCCTCGCACGTGGAACTCCATATGCAGATCGCTCGTAAGAGTAGCCGTTACTGGGAGGGGGCAAAGGTGTGCTAGGCACCCTCCTGATGGGGCTGCGATCTCGGGCGTAGTACGATGACGGGTGAGGGGGCGGCGGTGGTGGTGGTGGAAGGGGCCGACGCTCGTATGGGTCAAGCGACGAGCTCAGTGGACGGTCTCGGGCGACGGTTGACGGGGGAGGCGGAGGAGGTGGGATACCGGTACGCTGGGTCTCATAAGGAGAGACAGCATACGGACGGGCCCTATACTTCTCGTAGTAATCTACCACGCTGTACCTGTCCCTGTCACTCTCATAGGGAGACACTGGATAAACAGCTCGTCTGGGGAGAGGGGGTGGCAGAGGGGGAGGAGCGGGATAACCTGGGGGCATAATGCGGCCCCTCATGTAGCTGGGCGGTGGAGGCTCAGGCCGCTCTCCTGGATACCGTGGAGGCCAGTAGCCGCCTCGGTCTGGTGGAGGAGGTGGGTATTCTTCAAGTTCTTCATATCTGGGACGACTCTTTGAAATCTGAACATGAATGCGTTTGTCTGGAAACAAAAGCAAACATAAAAAATGAAGGTGATGCAGTTTACTGCTGTCATCATCTTAACCATACCGACGCTCCCTTACCTTGAAACTCTGTGTTATCCAGTCCCTTCATGGCATCCATGGCTTCGTCATAGTTRGGCATGTGAACGAAGGCAAAATTCTTAACAATAGCACACTCTGTGACTGTACCGTACTCCTCAAAGAGAGTGCGGAGCTCCTCATCACATCCCTTCTCTACATTCGCAATATGAAGCTTGACTGGACCTTGGTTCTTGCCATGGCTGGCCTCTACGTTGATCGGCGTGCCGTGAAGCATGTGCAGGTGAAGACTCCGGATGGCTTTGGTGGCAGCCTTGCGATCGTCCATGTGGACAAAAGCAAAGTTTTTCACAATAGCACATTCAGTGATTGTACCATACTCTGCAAAAAGCCCTCGGATTTCATCCTCGGTCGCCTCTTGAGGCAAATTTCCCACAAAAATCTTCACCATTGTTACAAATCTGCAATGAAGCAACACAAAAAAAGACATTAACCATTATCAGTCATTTAAAATTCCAAAGACTTGGTCAAATTAGTCTTCGCATTACACAGATAAACAGAGGAACACAGTCAAGAAAAAAACTGAGTAAAGGTATTTTGCTCACAGTTAGCTGCTAATGCTAATGTACAATACCCTTTACTTTACCAATTAAATACTATAAMCTGTCTCAAAATAAACCAGCCGAACTAAGTCTTTAAAGAACCTTCATGTGAACCGGTTAAAATAAATTATAAGTAATGGTTCAAAGGAATATAATAATGTGTTTTTATTCTGGCCCACTGCTTGGATTTAGCTCGATTTCCAGGCCACGCTGACGTAAACGTCGAACAGGTTCAACCCCCATTTCGTAAAACGGGTCGATGAAAAGCCAAATATTTACAAAGCTAAAGCAAAGTCAATTTTCTTGACTATAAAAAATGCAAGTATTATAATAAAACATTTGCTTACGTGATGACACGRCGCGAACGATCCGTCCGATAACTGATGCAATCCTTTACAGAGCTTTCCCTACGATAAGCTCCGTCAGTCGTCCAGCATTTCCGGTTCAGTGACTCCTACAGCGCCCTCCGCAGGCCTGGTTGTCGAACTTCACTCAAATATTATTTGCTCGCAGTTCTCAAACAATTTAGAATAAAATAATTTTGTCTTTATAAGACCATCATTTTGTATCACAGCAAACAACATTGTGTCTGAACTCTGGTGCTGATCTTAAAAAGCTGTAATGATGCGTTCAGGGTCTTTGAGGCAAGGTTGAATTAACAATCAGCATTAAAAAATTAGTTCACTGGTTTTTACTTTATTCTTTATTTATTGTGTCACTTTCTCAGAAATGTTTGTTTAATTTCCCAATAAATTATTATAAAATAAATTATTATTAGTTTTTTGGTCAGGCGGTGTATTTTTAAATATATTGAGTGTCATGGTTAAGTGTAGGCAAGATTTTGCAAAAATACATTCTCTATCAGCTTTTATGTTATAGAGAAAAGTTTTTATATTCACTGMAGCCTTTTGATTTAAAAAACAACTATAAGCAGCCTGCTGTGTTTAGTTGACAACTTCAGTGTTTAAATTTCCCCTGAAACAGTAACTCTTAAGTGACTATTTTGTAACAACCGATGAAGAAAACAAAGTAAAACATAAATCTTTTAAAAAGGAACTTTTCTTTTGTCGTTTGATTTGAAGTTTAAATCTGAATGATGAAATAAATAAATAAATAAATCTGAATGATGCGTACTGCAGGAGTGCTGATCAAACCAGGGGTCATTAGCACACATCTTGAGGAAGACCACGATGATGAAGCCTTGACCACCCTGGTGTCAACGTGAGAACTGACACTTTCACGTTATCTGCAGCCTGTGTGTGTATAAAACAAAAACCAGACTCTGACCTGGATCAGTTTCTCCTCAAATCCTCTTTAACCTGACTCGGTTTCATACATCCATCTTTTAATATTTTCTGTGGTGTATAGTAGTAACACCATATCACAGAATATAATTCAGGCCTGCTTCCAACAGGTAGGTTTGATTTCTAATTTTGATAAAGTTTAGACCCTTGAAGCCCAGGAGGAATCTTTGCTTCAATGGGACTAATGTGTACGACACAGTATTAGGGCCACACAAGATTATTTTTATTACGAGAATAATCATAATATGACATAATTCAAGTCAGATTACAAAATTAAAGTAGTAACATTATGAGAATAAAGTCACATTAGAATAAAATAATTTACGAGATTGGAGTCATAATATGAGAAAAAAGGCATAACACGACACTAAAGTCGTAACATTACAAGAACATAGTCAATACAAGAACCTTTACAAATGCACTCCTATCACTGCCTTAAAATGAGAAATGTTGAGCAACTTGTGAAGTTGTATCAGTTAAAAGAAATATTTAATCTTTTAGCACATTAGCATCAAATTATCATTAGCAGCTCTTTGAAAAGATTGTGCAAATGACTGTATGATAAACTGAAGCCGTGTTGTAATGGCTGCATTGACAGATTTAGTCGTCACGTAATTTGGATGAAAGCATTTTACACCAACAGTGACCCAAAGATAATCAGGCTACTTCATAAACACAGACATGCATGGCTGTCCACAGCAGGTGGGAGGAAATGAGTGACAATCAGGAACAGAAAATGAACATCATGCAAGATTGACAACTTTCTCTTAAAATTAAAACTTTAATCTCGTAATGACTATTCTTGTAATATTACTTTATTCTCATTTTAAAAAGAAGTGTGGCTCAGATACTCCGTCGTAAATGTGGATCCTTTATAAATAAACACAACCATTGAATTAAATTATTCTTTTATTTTCAGTACAAGACTCTGAAGGCCCTGGTGAATGTGGACTCAAATGATATAAACACGACCATCGGTGAGGTACCAAAAGCAATTTTCTAACATCCTCAATGGTTCTCTCAGCAGCGGATTCAGCTTTGCAGATATCGGTCATGAACGTTGATGTGCTGAACACACTGGGAATCATCGCGGTGTCCTTCATCGCCGGGCTGGCCTTCAGCAGGATCATAAGGRAGACCTTCATAAAGACCGTCCAAGTGGTCAATTTGGTCTTCAAACTGGTGGTGAAAAAAATATGATAAGTGGAGAAAAATACGTCCAAATCATTTCAAAGAAATCAGACTTTATGCAGTTTTTATTAGATTTGTATTAGATTTAACTGCTGCTTCCATTAACTGAACCTTAATTTTTTTTTCTAGCTACCGGTCCACTGGAGTGGCCTTCCTGTTGGTGAGCTGTATCTGTGAGGTTTCTGAAGACTGGAAGACCTTCCTCCAGGGAATTTTGAACCTTTAATTTTGTTTCTCTTTCCAAACTCTATAGCTTTTTATCAAAAGGGGAGAACAGATCAGTTTTGTCTTTTGTTAGGGAAATGTGAATTTCTGCCAGTTAAAGCGCTAAACTATTTCTTCACCAATGCGTTTGTAAAAGTGTTTCACAACATGTATTAAAATGTTGAAATTCAACTCTTGTGGAAAACCCTGAGAAAAGCCTGCTCAAGTTAGGGTACCATGAAATAAATGAATGAATGAATGAATAAATGAATAAATAAATAAATTGTAAATTGTGAGGGGTTAAATCAGGATTTTTCATGATTCTGGGTTGACTGTTAGCATTTATGTCACCACAAACACTCCCTTGTTCAACACAGGTTGGACCTGTTAAACCGGAGATTTTCCTCTCCACTGTCACCGATGAGCTGCTCAGGATGGGAGACTGACAAAGTGAAGATTCAACACAAACTGCAGGCTTCTTTAGATTAATCATTTTTGTGTGCCCTGAGACGATGTGTGTTGTGACTTGGTGCTATTAAAATTGGATTAAAARCGAGCACATCCACTTTAACATTTACATTCCCAAGTAGTTTTGTTTCACATATCAGTGGTGGACTGTCATTAGGGATGGGTAACGGATTCGATACTTTTAATTACCGACCGAATTCTGTTGGTACTACAGAGAACCTATTCACGTAACATCAAACGGTACCATGTTTCGGTACCTAAAAGCATCATTGCGACCGTATAGGGTTGGGCATAATCGTATCGTTTGCAATTAATCGTCAGAAAAACATTAATCGATTACTTTTTGGCACTTGACGATTAAAACGATTAACGCCAGCAGGCAGAGTTCGCTCGGTGCTCCTCTCTGCTTCAGATATGACGAACATTTTTAAAAATTTTCTGTAAATTATTTATCTATCAACACAATTTAAAATTTGATGTACAGCCTGAAGTCGGTAATTTTGAGACAATTTGGAACAGATTTGTATGAAGAGCAAATCTTTCCCACTAAACTGGTCGTGTGACCAGGACATAAGGGTGTCCAGGGGATTAATCGTCAAATTAATCGTTATCGGCTAAATACCGCAATTAATCGTGATTAATTTTTTTGCCAATATTGCCCAACCCTACGACCGTATTGGCATAAGAGTGGTGAGTTTTCCCTGCTTGTCCTGAACGCAGCATCGCGCAAAAGCCTAATGACGTCAGCAGCCACTGGTTCAGTAAACAGAGTTCAGTCTGAACGTAGCTGAAAGCCTTGCAGCTCCTGGAGTGAAACTCACTGAACAGACCACCTCTGAATTATCTGGTGGATTAATTATCTTGTGAACAGGACGTTCACTTGCTCAAAGTAAATAAAGTACCACCACTTTCTTTATTTCATCCACCATTAAACAGAGACCGGCAGAGGAAAACAACAGAGGRGCTTCCTGACAGTCTGAGCATGTCTGACCTGAAAGAGCACAAGCAGYTAACTTGAAGTGTTGGACATGTTTTGGATGTTCAAAACGTAGCTTGAATACATTTGATTTAAACTTATTTGCCTTCCATGGACCTCCATCACACAATTTTTCTAACGGGGAAATGACGTCAATAGAAATACGTGGAGCTGGATTTTAATGTGTGCAATAAGACAAAACAGTCTTGTTGTTTTCAACAGTTTATACATACATACATACATGCATACACACACACACACACACACATACATATTTTTCCTTCATTTCATAGCTATTCTCCCAGTTGCAGCTTCTGAAACATTTCATTAAAGAAGAACTGGTCCAGAGGACCTACAAWTTTTTTTTTACCTGGATTACTGAGATCTATCAGAACTTGTAGAATTGTGGTAATTGTTTCATAAGTTTCATTATTGCCATTTGATAAACCTGTCTGTTGTGCAGCACCATATTTTGTGTTTCTGTGGATTATTGATTGTTTTGTATAGTATGTTGTACATAGCTGCAGCATCATGTCAAGTTGTCTGTAAATTACATGGATTTTCTGCCATTTTGCATGCATAGACATATATAGCAATCTTAAGATATTAAAAAAAAAACTTTGACTCCAATTTATTTAAGACTCAGAGCCAGCAGTCAGTAAAGACAACAAGTTTGCCACCACTGTCACATACATATACTCAGTTATTTCTCATTCATAATGTCACCTTCAAGAGTTGTCGTCTATGGTCGATGTTACTAACTGTCCATCAAGCTTGATCTGCATCTCYGCCCCTACTTCAGCTGCTCTCTCAGTATTGACCGAGTCATCTCATGTGCTTTTGAATCCTGTTGGGAAGAAGAAAAAAAAACACAGCTTATTTTCTCAATTGTTTAATGGCTTGTTCTTCTATAACTGCTTAAGGGCAAGTTTACCTGCCTCTGCTTTTTTGCTTCAGCCACATCTAACCCTAAACCCCCAGAGTGGAGCATGTTTCCTGACATCTTCATTCTCTGGTGGACATCAGAGAAGTGACAGAGTGAGCACCCAGTACTTGTGGCCAGAAACGCTCTCATTCTTCTTCTACTCAGTCCACCTTCTGACCTAGCTGCCTTCATCGATGTCTGCTCAATGCAGGTGTTACAGAAAGTGCCAGACCACTCATGGCTGGAGTAATGGATAACGTTTTCTAAGGTATCCTTGTAAGGAGATAAAGTTTTGAGTTCTTTGATGAGTTCAAAGTATACCCATACCATATTGACGATGCCCTGCGGTGCCAATGATGTCAAGTATCTTGGTAACAATGCAGGACAGATGTCCGTTGTGGTCTGCAACTTGCTTGGTTCTGAYAAAGACCCTGATCACATCTACCAAGTGATAGTGCTGTACCCAGAGTGCAGATGTTCTTCCTCTTTCTGTGAGTTGTTTGAAGATTTCTTTAAAGATCTGCTCAAACACCGTCAATACTAGGTCTGTGTGTCTGGCTCCCATTTTCCCATCAGAAACTGTCACTACACTCCATACCATACCAATTTTATTTATAAAGCACTTCAATCAGCACAAGGCCAACCCAAGTGCTGTACAATAGACAGACACAACAGTGTAGCAGTAACTTGGATTGGAATGTCAAACCCAAACTTTGTTTACCTCAAGACTGTGGCCTCTAAGCATTATTCTGTCTCATGCCTACTGAGACAAGAGTGATTTGATTCATTTACCTCCAAAAAAAATTGTTTACTATCTACGACTGGTAAGATAACGACAGGATGCGACAGAGACCTTCTGTTGTTTGAGTACAGTGAGAACTCTTTGATGTATTCAAAATGGCCGCTTATCACAAAAGGACTCAAGGTTTTAGCAGACACAAAGTCTGGCAGAATGGTTCTGCTAGTGAGAAAGCCTTTTTAAGCCAGACCCCCTGGTGATATATACCACTCAGATCTACATCAAAGACATTGTTTACATACCACCTCATTTATGGTGTTACCGTCCCCAGGAGACTGGTTTTATACTGACACCATGATCGAATGTTTTTCTGTATTCTTGTTTCTCTGTTTTTCTGCCATTCTGATATAAAAAAAAAAGAATCATTGTATGCCCTACATGACTCAATCATGTGAACAATGTGTTTTAATCACTTCACAAA